GGCCTGCTGGTCTCTACTCGTAAGTAAGTGCTGCTTTCAAACACGCGCCTACCCCTCCCGCAGATTCCAAGGATCTTCCCACGGGAAAACTTTCGAGACTTAGGGGCGTGATGCCCCAGGAACATCCAGCAACACCCCAGCGCAGCCGGGGCCGTGGCTCTGCCGTGAGAGACACAGGCGTGACCGCCCTCCACGGGTGGCCGGGCGGTGCACCATCACAGCCCGTGGCCGGGAGACCCAGAGTTCACAGATCCTGCCTGCTCCCGGCCACCCCGCCCTCTGAGGGGTCCCAGGAGAATCGAATGCCCAAGGTGGCAAAGCCACGTTTTGTTTTCATGGCGGGAGTGGCCCAGGCCTTGGGACAGAGCTCAGGAAACCGCAGCAGACCGTGTGGTGCTGGGGTCCTTCTCCCTGCGCAGGCTGGGGACGAGGGGCCTGGAACAGAGCTGATGGAACAGCTCCTCCATCCCTCACCTCACACGGAGCACCCAGCCAGATGGCAAGCCAGCTCCCGCGATGCCAGGGGACTGGTCTGGGCTGCCCCCTTCCAGGGCAAGCGCACCGGGACCCCAGGGCCCAGACCCTCAAAGGCACGACCTTGCCAGAGCACTGGACTCGGACCGTCAGCTCGGCCCTAGTGGGTACTGAGTAAGAACCAGGGAAGGAGGTGAGACATCCTCCCCGTGGAGGCCAAAAATATGAGGAGAAAACTGTTCCACTGACTTGCCATTAGGAGAAAACGAACACTGGGGTCAAACCGCAGGCTCCTTAGCAGCTTCTGCTTTGAAATAGTCTGAAACGTTACGGCTGTCACGCTCCCACCAGCCCATCCAGGTACAGTGACCGCCGTGCTCACAGTGCAGGGTTCCACACGCTGAGCTCCGTACAACACCTGACAAGTCAAGCAGGGCTCCCTGTGTTTCCTGCTGTTTTTCTCAACAGGAAGCTACTCTCCTCGTGCCCTTTTCTGTTCTTAAGTGTTCCATGGAAGTAAGTGTACGCTGGGCACCTGTTATGTGCAGCCATCGTGCCATGTGCTGGGGCTCTTCGATGCAGAGAAACCGTCCCCGACCCAGAGGAGCTCAGACAGACATGCAACAGGCAAGAACTCCCCGTGATCTCCCACATCCGGCTTCTGGCACTCTGTGTGATTTCTGAGACTGATCCATGTTGCTTCTCGAATCGGCCATTCTCCTCTGTACATTTCCGTGTGACCCAGCCCCGGTGGGGCGGGTGGGCAGGAGTGGAGAGAGAGCCCCCACCCCCAGCATAAGATGTGAGCAGAGGCTGCTTGGGGACGGCGAGCAGGAAGGAGGCTCCAGCCTGAAGGCCAAGGCCGGGGGGCGGCCACAGCGGCACCTCTGGACCAGCGGAGTCTGATCGCCGTGTGCAGGAGATAGCCCGGGGCTGACCTAGGACTGGGCCGGATCGGTTCCCTGCGCTCACTGGATCCACCGGGACCCGAGGTTTCCTGTGTGTTTCTTTCTATCGGGTACTTGCTCACCAAATGCACACCACAAGCAAGAAACGTCTGTAAACCCAAAGGACGCATTCCAGCACCACATTTTATCGTCAAGGACCTCACTGCCAGATGTGGGAATGCAATGGAAGAAATACACATGCATCTCAGGAGGTTAAGAAAACGGAGTTGCCATTAAATTCTACATAAAAATGTGTTGATGGCACAGGACACACTGCCAGAAATTCCACGTTGATGTGTAATCAGTTAATAAACTGGTGAATGAGAATTCCTCCCCACCCCGGAGCCCAGAGTGGGTGTGTGTTGGGGGTGGTGGGTACTGGGGGGGATCAGAACGGGAGAAGGACACACGGGGACTCTGCAAGTGTGCCCAGGACACCATCCTTCCTGCCTGCAGAGAAACGTCCTCTCCGCACACGTGACGCCTGTCACCAGGGGCGACCGCTCCACCCCCACTTCCCAACACTCTTCCCGCGACACGTCTGCTTCACTGCAGGGAGCAGGTTCTGTGGGTTTAGTAACCCAGATGCTTCTCGCTGCCACGTCACAGACACACACGTGCAACGCTAGCAGCCCCTTTCAGGACACGAGGCCGGACTCAATTCTTGCTTAATTAAAATGAACCCACTCTGCTTCTTAAAAAGCCTTACTATCAAATTTAGGATGTAAATAGTTATATAATAAAAATGTCAAATAATAAAACCTCAGCCCTTCAAATATTGTAGTTTTAACTGCAGTTTCTCACTTGCCTTATAAAAGGCAACCTCAGGTGAAACTGCTGAATTTCAATACTTGAAACTGCTAAATAGTTCATCACTTCTGGATATTACCCTCTGAGGTGTCAGAGCCTGAAAAGTGGTCATTGTTCTAGATGAAAAATCAGAGCGTCCTGGACACTGCATAAGCGCACCTGGCGGTAACAGGGAGTCTGCAGCCACCCCAGGAAGGCTCCGTCCTCCCACGCGCTCTGGGGCTCCGGTGGCCAGGGTCTGGGCCTGCACGGGATGCTGGACAAAGATCCCATTCGCTTCTCAACAGCTGGCTCTGTGTCCTAAACAAGATGCTCAACTTGTTCAAAAAATAGAAAAATAATTAACTAAATTATGGTTTCGCTCTGAGAATGTTAATTACGCAGAGCGATAAAAATGGATGTTTAGCTAAACTCCAGTAAGGCAGGGAAAGGCGGACTCGTGCGTGTTGTCTCCTTAGAGCATGGGGAAAAGAAGGGTATTTACCACAATGAAATGGGATGGGACCAAGGGTTATTGGTTTCCTTTCCAGCTCTTCTGGGATGTGATTATATCACACAAATAAAATCATTAAAAATGCTCTGTGTGTCAGATGTCTCTCCGGGGAACCAGGGAAACACTGAATTGTGCAGACACATAATTATCATCTGTGAAAATGGCACAAGGCAAGTGCCAAGGAGGTTACACACGAGGAGAGGACCGTTTGGTTTTGCTTCTGCAAAGGAGGATCGGGCGAGAGAGGCTTCCTGGGCAAGGACAGTGTTCACGGAGGAGGGTGAGCTGCCTGCCCCAGACACGGGGGCGCGGGAACACCCGCGGTGAGCTGTGCGGGGAGCAATTCCAGGACACGTCTTCGGGGCGCCCTGGCAGGGGGACGCCTTTGTGGATTCCCCAGAGGGAGTCCCTGTGGATGTCAGACACAACTGGTCGTGCCCCTCGGCCTGTGTGGAGGCGCCACGGGACACCTGCACTTTTATGTTCTGTAAAACCACCCCGAGCACCGGAAACTGCCCGTTCACGCAGCGAGCACTCGATAAACATTAACCCATCTCAGGTTTTTCCTGACGGAAAACAAAGGAAACTGAAGTTAGCAAGGCTGCCG